TAGTCCATGTATAGTCAGCCATCTTGTCTCTATGCTAGGAGGAGTTTTCTTTTGACCCAGCATTTCAGCCCTTTCTGAACAGGGAACATGGGACGACGTATTCTCTTCTGGAACTGCTTCGAGCTGGCATTGGGGCACCGTTGTTGCCCCCCCCCCCCAAGGCTGAAAAGCTGGTCAAAGACTGGACAGGGGGCATTTGTCAGTAGCATGTAGCTGCCTGACCCCATAGGGACAGAGAAGAATCATGTTAGCTGGGCTGGTCCACGTTGGCCTTTAGCACGTCCAGAGCCCACAGTCGTCTGGAGCAGTGGAGTCAGCAACTGAAACTTGGAGGTGTCTGCCAGCCAAGTAGAAATCTGTTGAGACAGATTTAAACTAGGAACAGAAGTTACAATTTATGAACTTATTTGGAACCCTTTGGTCTATACCCTTAGTAATGGGAAAAGCAGTAGTCCCAAGACCAGGAGAGAGGAAAAATACCATCTTTAGGAATATCTTATCTATAAAACCTATGTTGTTATCTATTTAAATTTTAAGTACTTAGGTGATATATAATTACTTGTATACATACACACAGTTGGATCCAAGTAACATACATACATACATACAGTTAAAGCTTGCTTATATTTTTAAGTTACATACCTGTCCATATACACATATAAGCAGTTTGCAGAATCATTAGCCATTTTTAAGATGAAAACCAATAAGAATTAACTTTTAAATTCAGTATTTGCATGTATAAGAAACCATAACAAACAGTTTACTGGCCTTCTACATCATAACAAGAATAAATATAAATTTGCATCAGCATTGTACCACAGACAAGAAACTGTTGGTTAGTCTCACATAGGGAGTGACATTCCATTCCTGGAGCCAGATCCTGATCAGGTTTTAGCCCCAGGGCAGGTCTTGGGAGTCCCATCCAACAGCATGGGAGATGAAGAGGACAGGAAGGCATGCACCATGGGGACAAAAGATTGCTGTTAACCTCAGATTTTCAAGTATATGAGAGCAGCAGACTGAAAGTGACTCCATGCCCTGGCTGGGCCCACAGACCTGTAGGCTGCTCCTCAGCTGTGACCCTGGAGGGGCAGTTAGTTCTCCACCAGCCCCCACACTCTGAGCTCCTCTAGGCTCCAGCTGGTTCCCGCCAGCTCTGCCCCTTGTCCACATGGGAGCCCAGCCAGAACCTGCTGGCCATATCTGGGCCCCACAGTGCTCACAGCCCACCCTGGCATATGGCAATGCCTAGTTCCCATGCAGCCAAGCCTCTACTCCACAGCTTTCTGAGCGAGCTGGGGCCCCGAACCCGCTGCATCCAGGCCCCGTGATGCTCACGGGCCGCCTAGCCCTCTCAGCTGTGCCCTGGGTCCCTGAAGCAGCAGCTGTGAGCCGCTGCCTGTGCTCTGATCAGAGAGAGAGAGAGAGAGAGAGAGAGAGCAAGGAAACAATGGGGGAATTTGGTTAGTCCATGCCAGCATTGGGTTTGGCCGCCCACCGAGCGGAGGGGAAAGACCTGTGATGTCCCAGTGTGAAATTTTTTTTTTTACCTTAGCCAAATTGGTGGGGTGTCTACCTGTCCCTTTGAGACCTGCCAGGAGAATCCAGTCGGGGCAGGTCAAGGGGAAGGCTTTGGCGCCAGCCGGAGCTTGAATCCCGCCCGCCAGCGGGAGCAGGTCCCCTTGTGGCGGGCCACAGTGGCGCCTGTGGTGGCGGTGGCATGGAGAACAAGGCCCCGGGCGAGGACAAACAGCAGCTCAGGCCTGTGCTCAGCTCAGTGTGTACGGGCCACAGGAGCATGGTGCTGAGGCAGTGGGGTGCCGGCAGGGGGACATGGCCGGTGGCCGCTGCTAGAAGGAGGGGAGGGGGAGTGTGTGGATAAAGGGGGAATGGGGTTGGGGCCCCATGGAGAGGGAATTAAGAGGTAGAGACAGACAAAGACAGATAAAGCATAAAATGGACAGACACAGTCCGCGCGGTGGTTGATTCAGCTACAAAACCAAAAGTACAAACAAAGCACAAATTCAAATGGGAGTGACCGAGAACAGCCTCGCTCCCCCAGGGAAGGAGAGACTCATCTCCTTTCTTCAGATCACTCTGGAGGAGACCTCCAGAATGGGGACCCGGGGACATCTGAGCACGTCTGCTCCCCACACAAGTTGCAAACACAAGTCCTGCACACTTCTGCAGGCACCGAATACAAATGCCAAATCAACCAAAGGACAAGGACACAATAATATAAAACATAGATCGAGCTCGTTTTTACCTCCAACTGACAGAGTGGGGGTCCAGGGGCACCCCAAAAATCTCAGTGGAACCTCCAAATGATAGACCTCCAAAACTAGGGTACTACCTTCTCGAGTGGGCACCCCAAGAATCCAGACTCCAGTCCAGTTGATTCAACAACAAGAGGTGTTTATTAATGCAGCTGTACAGTCGGGCTAACTCAGCTCCAAAGAGCAAGAGTCGCGCCTATTGCAATCACATGGGTGCTTTTAAAGGAAAAACCCACAAAAGCCATAAGATTACAATTTCCATACATGGCCTGATCACAGGGTGATCACAGAGTGGGTACAGTCACATCTGCATGCACATTCTTCCTGAAACCTCAAGGGGGGTATCAGGGCGGGAGTGGAGTTTACACAAAGGTCACAGTGGTCCTTCCTGGAACACTTGCAACTATCCCAGTCACAGTTGAGCACATTTCTTAACAGAAACCTTTTTATATTGTTACATTATTGCAGGGGTGATTGAGTAATGATTGAGTCAGCTTGCCCTTGGAACTAGTTATAGTTTCTCATTTCCTGGGGCTTGGGGGTGTAAGCCTGAAGGGTTAGGGTCTTTCACTCCTTTCTTGCCTGATTCTCTCTACATCTTTCTGCTCTTGCCTCTAAGTGCTATCTTGATTCCTTCATCTAAGTTCTGCCTCATTTTGGTCTTTCTCATCTCATTCTTACCCACCTAGTTCTTCCCCATCAGGCTCTTCCTCATCTCCCATCTTGTCCTTCTAGTTCTCCTCCAATCTAATCCCCAGTCTCTGAGGTTTACAGTTATAAACCCATGCAATAGCAGTGCTCTGGCTAAGGCAAGGTCACCAGGCTTGAGTTCTTACAGGGTCCTAAAGGCAGACAAGAGTTTTCCTCAGGCAGTGACCACCAGGCTTTCTTCTACAACCCAAAAGGGGAGTGGTAAAGGAGGGGGTCAGCTAAGCTAAAATTGGTTAATATATCAGAAGAAGGGAAGTTATGTGCTCACACTACATTCCTAGAAGGGGTTAGGTAAAATTTTATGAGTCTATCATAAATGTGCTCCAACTACAATCTTACAGGTGGGTGGTCAGGAAAAAGACTCTATAAGTCACTTAAAAACTTCCTCTATTTTCCTATGACACCATGTACTGGCAGGGCAGGTAACTCTGCTCAGAGCTAGGAAACCTGTCTCAAAACTACACTGCACCTGGTATGCAAAAAGCCCTTTTGTTCTGAGTCAGTTGCTCTGGAATGCCGCTTGGGCTGTGAGAGAAAGAAAGGTCTGAGCTTCATTTGCACAAGAAACAAATCTATGCACCTAAGTTAGGCAGTGTCTCTGTAAGGGTGTTTACCTTAATTCAGGAGACTCAGCGATTGGTCTGAAATGCTTTGTCCTGTCTGCCTTTTGCTTTGGATGCAAGAGAAAGTATATCAGATAGAATACACTGTTAGAAGTTATTGGGGAAGTATGAGAGTGCACAAGAAAGTCATAGCAGGAAACAGCTGATATACTAAAAGCTGAATAACACCTGAATAATACTCCTTGAGATTTGGCTTAATCCTCTGGAAGGCCTTAGCTTCTTCCAGGTATTAGCTTTGTCATAGTCAGCTGCATTCCTCCTACATTCCTACAGCTCATAGCAGAAACCCTGTTTCAAAAAACCAACCCCCCCCCCCAAACCAAAATTTGTATTTTAATAGCATTTTTGAAATTTGACTTTTTTGGTTATTACTACTATATTTAATATAATTAATTTTTTATGTGTTGATTTGTATCTTCCAACTTTGCTAAACTCATTTGTTGTTTTGACATTCCTCTTAGATATTCCATGATTATGCATATGTGTTCTGAAAAAATTTCCCCCCCCCCAATTTGATTCTTTTATTTATTTTCCCTGGTTACTCTGGCTAAATAGCTTTTGTATTTTTGAGGAAAAGTGGGAGAAGTCTATTTTTTCCCTGTTCTGGATCTTGGAGGAGGTCACTTAGCTTTTCACTGTTGTGGGATATTTGTACACTGTGTGAAGATATATGTGATTGATTTAATAAAGAGCTGAACAGCCAATAGCTAGGCAGGAGGTGTAGGCGGGACTTCAGGGCAGAGAGAGGAAGTAGGAGGTAGGGAGGCACAGGGAGAGGCCAACAAGACGTGGAGGGAGTTGGACATAGAGAATGAAAGAAAGGTAAAAAGCCACATGGTAAAACAGATGAATAGAATGGGTTAATTTAAGTTATAAGAGCTAGTTAGGAGCAAGCCTAAGCTATAGGCCAACCTTTCATAATTAATAAGTCTCCGTGTTATTATTTGGGAGCTGGCTGGGGGGACAGAGAAAGACTCGTTACATTTTGCTGTTAACGTAGCATCTTATGGCAGCGCTGGGAATAGAATGTAGGACTACGGATATGAGGCGGACATTCTACCCCTGGGCTATAGCCCCTGCCCTGTCCACCGCCCCCCATTTCCGCTTGTGTTTTTTTTATTTTTTTATTTTTTGGTGGTTGTTGTTTATCTGGGTGTGGAAATTTCCTTCTGTCTTATTAGCTGATGATTTTTTACAGATTGATGTTAGATGTTACCAGATGTTTTTGTGCATGCATCGAAATAATCGTACGGCAAATGGCTTTTCAGTTGAGCGTATATCACCCTCATTTCCTGTCTGTCTGGTCTGCTTCTTCGGATTTGTACCTTTGAAATGCTGGCCCACCGACACGGCGATGTTAACTGTGGTGTGTTCTTGTCTCTCCTGACAGTGAACGAGAGCTACAGACCAGAATTTATAGAGCTGAGAAAATGGCTGAAAGATAGAAAGTTTGAAGACACAGGCTTAGTACCTGCCTGCTTTCCAGGTGAGAGTCAAGTGGAGGGCAGGTGCAGTTGGGGTTGGGGGCCCGGGGGTGTGTGTGTGTGTGTGTGTGCTTCCGGCAGTGGCTGTCATGTCTGGAAACACATCTGGTGCAGTTGGGGTTGGGGGCCCGGGGGGGGGGGGGGGGGGGTGTGTGCTTCCGGCAGTGGCTGTCATGTCTGGAAACACGTCTGGTGCTGTGTATTGGGATTCGCCGTTTGTTTGTGTTTCACCTTACTTTCCTATGGAAAGGAACGACAGATGAGGAAAAAAATTACATTTGAAGGAGAATAATAAAAGTAAGATGAAGCCATGAGGCCAGCTGTGGCGGTACATGCCTTTAATCCCAGCAGCACTCAGGAGGTGGAGGTTCCTGATACAGATTTAATATAGATTAAAAAAGAAAGAAAAGAAAAGCAGATGTAGCCATGAGTAAGGATAACACTTGAAAGACACAAAGTCTCATGCACTCCCGGAAGAGCAGCATTTGACTCGCGTGTAAAGAGCCCACGTGACTGACAGGACCTGAGGGGCCTGTAAACAAACCTCAGAACATGGGCGTCTTCCTTAGCATTTGAACAACTTTGAGATTCCATCTCACCCCAGTCAGAATGGCTCACATCAAAACACCTGGCAACAAAGGCCGTGAGCTTGTGGAGAAACAGATTCTCTCACTCACTGCAGGTAGGAAGGCAAATTGATCTGCTCTGGATATCAGCATGGAGAATCCTCAAAAAAACTAAAACGTGAATCTACCATACATGACAGAGCTAAATCCACACCTGGCATGTGTCCAAAGACTCAGCAGATACTCAGCCATGTCCACTGCTGCTCTGTTCACAATTGCCAGGAAATGGAAAGAACCTAAAAGTCCTTTAACTGATGAATGGGTAATGAAAATGTGGTATATGTACACAATGGAATTCTATTCAGCTGTACAGAAAAATGAAATCATGAAATTTTCGGGTAAATGCATGGACCTAGAAAAGATCATATTGAGTGAGGTAACCCAGGCCCAGAAAGATAGACAGTGCACGTCCTTCTCATCTGTGGTACCCCCATCTCCAAATCCTCAGCCAGAAGTGTAGAGCTACCACCCACCCCTCATGGCAGAAGCCTCTTTAGAGCAGACCATCACAGTGGACGGCACCTGGACGCAATGCCGAGATCAGCAGATGACACATCTACATCACAGCATCTGCATCTGTGGCCCAGGAACGTCTCTGAAGAAGAAATCGTGTAAGGGCCAGAACACCAGGAAGTCCACTGTGAAACAGTCTCTCCCGGAAATGACTGTGTACACAAGACCAGGACAATGCCAATATCAATGGACGTGATCACTTGGAAGGGGGAACATTTTGTGGTCCCACCCCTGGACAACTGATGACTGCTGGGAGGAGACTGCCTCTCCCGGGGATGAGCTTCCTGGTGAGCCAGCACAGTGGTCAGCGTTGGAATTAAAAACCTGACACTGTCAAGTTAGAAGTTTGGGTATTCCTCAGCCTGAAGGAAAGGCCTAGGCTGAGTCCTTACAAGGCACAGCGCGTGAGTACTGAGTGGGCAGTGCTGAGCTCTGTCTCTTGAGGTTTTGGTAGGATTTTGGAAACGATGCCTGCTGATGGGATTGTCTCAGGCCCCGTAAGTGAGTAGTTTTCTGAGGGTGAGGCATGTTCCAGCTAACCACTTGAGGTACTTGTCTTGTATCGTGTTGTGGCTCCAGCAGAGGAGCCTTTGATGGGGCCCAGCAAATCCTGTCTCTCAGGCAGTTTGGATCTGTTTCTCTCTCGTTTCGGCCTTCCAGGTCATCTGAACTGAGGCAAGTCAACGTTTTCCTCTGGAATTTGATAGCTTCCTGTGGAGGCTAAATTGACATTAGTTTGGAGTCAATGTCCTGCAGTCAGGGGTGGAAGGCAGCTACAGAGCGGACCAGCGTGCTGTTCAGAGGAGTGGGTCTGGTGTAGCAGAGATAGTTAGGACCCTGAGGTCTTCACACTGCATATGATTACAGCGCTAAGAGCATATGCTATTGGACTTCCCTCTGGCCACTAGTTAGCCTAATTTGGAATAAATTAACTTTTTTTTTTGTTTGTTTGTTTTTTGTTTTTCAAGACAGGGTTTCTCTGTGTAGCTTTGCGTCTTTCCTGGGACTCACTTGGTAGTCCAGGCTGGCCTCGAACTCACAGAGATCTGCCTGCCTCTGCCTCCTGAGTGCTGGGATTAAAGGCGTGCGCCACCACCGCCCGGCCAATAAATTAACTTCTTATATCTCCCAAGGTAAATGATTTCCCATGTGGGTCACCAGCTGAGAGAGATGATCCGCACGAGGGTACTTCCTGTGGGTCCATTACACATGGTGACCCTGGAATAAAATGCTTGATTTGAGCTGCCAATCTAAATATCAACGGAGGTTAATTGTTACTTGCAGGTTATAGAACTGAATGTTTTGCCATAGCGAACGATGGATGCATTTAGGGAGGCAAAGGGTTTAAAGGTAAAATGGAAGGGTTACATAATTGCTTTGAAACAGTTATCCACAGCCAGAGAATCACAAGGTCAGGGTGAGTCTAGTGTCTCGGACAGATGACTGCTGGGCAGGCATCCTCACGTGACTGTTTATGTCAAGTTACAGTTTTAGCAGAGTATTTTGTGCTAGTTCCTATTGTGAGACAATTAAGAGTGAAGCGTCTCCCTTTTTGACTCTCTGGCTTCATTTGTCAGGGTTTGACTTACGTGCTTCCATTTTGTTCCTGACAACATTCAGAGGACCCTGTGCGGTCAAGGTCTCTGCTGGTTTGTGAGGGTGAGCTGCTTTGTCAGCCAACGACAGGATATTTAACTTCGTGTTTTTGTGTGTCAAGGACTGGTCAGTGAGTTCCTTTCCTGGGTTGTAGCATGTGGAGTTCTTCTCCAGCTCATCCCAAGAAAGGTGTCTGTATTGTCCTTGTTAAGGTCCTTGGATCTTGACTCAGAACTCAGCTTTGCTGTTCAAGGAATGTAAACCCACAGAGAGGTCAGGTCGTATTCCAGAACAGCTTCCTGACCCATCCTCCCTGGGAGGGAAAGGCCAAGAGACCCACGTGCATTGTTGCAACCTGTTTTTAGTCCTTGAGGCCCTCAGGTCTCCACGATGCGGTACGACTTACCTCCATGTTTTGGTTCCAGGAACAGGAAGAGGGCTGATGAGCAAAACGTCACTGCAGGTGAGAACTTCTCTTTTATCCTTGGGGCTCAAGATAGATCCTGCTGTGGGCATGTGTGCGTGTGCGTGTGCGTGCGTGCGTGTGTGTGTGTGTGTGTGTGTGTGTGTGTG